AGTTGAAATTGCTGGAGTTCCAGGTGAGAGCCAAGGATGCTGGATTACCCTCCTTATGTGGGAATGCAACAGTTCAAGTCTTTGTGATGGATGAGAATGACAATGCACCTGCCGTGTCAGGATCATTAGAAGAGAACCTGATTCTTGTAGTGGTCCCCGTGATACCTGGGCACATTGTTGGCAAGATCCATGCCTTGGATGCAGACTCTGGATACAATGCATGGCTAAGATATGAACTGGTTGAAGAAAGCAGTGGTCCATGGGTTGTAGGGCAGTATAGTGGAGAGGTGAGTACCAAATATTCTTTGGATGAGGCAGAAGGAAGTAAAAACCAGAATGTGGTGGTTATAGTGAAGGATCATGGGAAGCCTCCACTCTCAGCCACAGCTACCCTGAGTGTTTCAGTGGTGACAAGTGCCCAGGCCATCAAAACGGATATTCATCTCCGCAGGTCAGGGGACAGCTTCATGCCCCTGGTGGACTCGATCAACATCTATCTGATCATTGCCATCTGCTCTGTTTCCAGCCTGTTCCTACTGGCCATTCTCATTTACGTGGCTCTGCGATGCCAGTGCAAGGCAAAGGAAACCATGGTGTATGGTCCTGGCACGGCCACCCTGGTGTGTGCCAGTGAAGTGGGCAGCTGGTCCTATTCCAATCGTCACAGCCACATCCTGGCAGGTGTGAGTTCAGAAGCTGGTGCCAAGAGTGATCTCATGATTTTCAGTCCCAATATTCCTGTTTTTGCAGATAATGGGGAACTTATCAATGGGACAGAATTGCCCCCAGATTCAGCTAAAAAGGTGAGTCCTGCTCTTGGAATCCTTGTCATCCCCTCAGCATCATATTTCTATGTTTACCATTTAGGATTAATCTTGGGATAATATTCTTTTTGAATTGTTAGCTTTAGACACTGATGGTAAATACATTGATTTACAAATCACTAATACTTTTTTCCTAAAGAAATATGTTTCCAATGTGAGTAGCTATCGAAAGTTACAAAGGAAGTTTGTTGTTTACTTAACAGCAAGTGAACCTGTCTTGTATGATAGTAAATACAAATAAGCTCTTCATCTTATCATTGTGTCCTGCCCACCTATTTTTCATCTTTATCTTGTGGACAGGTGGGATATTAATTAATGATTTTTTCTTTGTTGATAATTTCATTCTTTGATGAATCAATTCTCCATGTGATGCCTCTTTTTGTAACGATATTTATGGCTGGTGAATGGATTGCAAACTTATTAAACTTTATTAAACTGCTAGATATACAGAACTTTATTTGTAAATTTGTTTTGGGGGTTTCTAATCTTGTTCATGTATTACTGGTAAATTTAGAAATAGAATTTATAATATTGTAAAGGCCTTAACAATTGGAAAGAAGTAATACATTTATAATACAGAACTTATATCTGATTACTGGGCAGTCATGTTCCTAGAATAATCAAAGATCACCTTGTACTAGAGTTCACTAAACTGAACTTACTGAAGTTGTTTCAGTAAGTTTCTTACTGAAATGGCCTTGTCAGTTTAACAACCAGTATGTGCATTATTTGATCCTGATTCTATTGCAACATCTGTAGTTCACGCTTTTTGAGGTTTGGAAGGAATCAAGTAATGTTCCTAACCCAAGGTCCCTCCCAATTCTTACATTCTATAATTCTTGTTGGATCTCTGAGAACGGTGTCAGTTTAGCATGTATTTTGGGAGTGGGGCAGCGTCCTGCCATATCAAAAACTAAGTCTTTGTCCTATGTAGCTGAACCAATAATCCTGGGAATAGATGAAATATGAGAGGATTGAAGATGGGAAATCCTTGCAATCTTCAAAAAAGTAGGATTTGAGGATCTTTAGATTTGATAGCCTGATACTGGTACTGGGAAGACTCAGCAGTGTTTCCCAACCTTGACAGGTTATAGATGTGTGGACTTGAGCTTCCAGAATTCTCAGCAAAGGGCAGGCTGGCGGGGGAATTCTAAGTATGCAAGCCTACATAGCTGGAAATGATTGAGATTAGGAAATACCTGTAGTATTCTGAGAAGCTCACAGAGCAATTAAGCAGTAAATACTAGAAATCTGCTTGGATTTTTCAGGAACAGGTCAAATGGGACTAATCTTTGTTTAATCAGACGAGTTACTCAGTATAGATGTGCTTTGCCATTCCTTTAATCCTGTGAAATATTTTTATTTTCCTAATCTACCATATAGGCCTGGGATGTCTTGGTGGTCTCCCATCCAAGTACTCACAGCCCATGCTTACTTTCTTGAGATCAGCAATGCGGTCACATGATGTTGCTCTTTATGACCGCATTGCTTAGCAAGGGCAATCCCAGTCTTAACTGCAGTTGTAACTTGAGGACTACCTGCATTTGGATTCCTTTCAGTCAGTTTTCAGGCCTGGACATAGCACAGAGAGATCATTGGTCATGCTTGTATATGACCTCTGACAAAACTGGGCTAGGGGTAATGCAACCATACTGGTTCTTCTTGATCTCGCAGCAAATTTCAATAGCATTGACTATAGTATCCTTCTGGCCAGTCTGCAGGGATTGGTGATGGGAGGTACAGTGTTGAAGGGATTCTCCTCTTTTCCCTGTGTTGCGTTCAATTGGTGTTGACAGGAGGGGTGAAACTGAGTCTGAGGCCTGTGGTGGGTGGGGTATTTCAGAACTCTACACACTTTCCCCTTTTGTTTAATTTCTACATAAGGCGACTGGGTGAGGTATTCTGCTGGTTAGAGATCAGATATCATCAATATGTGGTTAATACCCACTTATATATCTTGACCTCAGACTGATCCAGCAGTACTGTCTGGAGGCTGTGGGGGACTGGATAGGGAGGAAAAATGTTTAGGCTCAACCCTGATAAAACTAAGTGGCTGAGAGTTTTGGGAAACCTGAGGCTGGGGATGTTTTATCTTTAGTCCTTTCCCCTTTGGGACTGATACACAATTTGAGGATTTCTTGGACTCACAGCTCCTGCTTAAGGATCTGGTGGCAGATGCATACCTTAGGACAAATCCACCTTGTGTGCCAATGTGTCCTTACCTAGATTGGGAGGTTCTTCAGACAGTCACTCATCCTTTGGCCACCTTGTACAGTCTGCATGGGGCTGCTCCTGAAAACTACAGAAGCTGAAACTGATCCAGAATGTGGCAGCACAAGCAATTATGGGCATATTTTGTCCGGCCCATATAATACCTTTGCTCTGTGAGTTGCACTAGTTAAAGGAGACTTCTGGGTGCAATTCAAGATGCTAGTTATTACCTTAAATACCTTCATGGCATAGGGCTTGGTTATCTTCTCTGGCTTCTGCCCAGTTGGTATGATTGGGTAGAGTTTTATGCTCCAAGTCCCATCCATTATGAAGACAATATGATTATTAAATCATTTAATCACAGCTTCCTTCTGGATCTCTGATTTCTACCACAAACTGTGAAGATTTGTTAATCAAATTTATTACACCACTGGTAGATTTTGAATCCCCTCTGTTATGTATTTGACCAACCCATCTTTTAGGTAAAAGTTCTTTCTCATGAGGAAAAACAATAGGTTCCTGCTTTTTTAAAAAAATTCAGATTTTAAATTGCCAGTTTAGCAAACATATGTGTAGATAACATTAGTAAACATAGAAAAACCAATATTTTCATAGGTTGAGGAAAAAAAGAACTTTCATGTAACTGAGATGAACTATTTAAAGAACTAAAAACATGAACAAACATAAAGAAAAAAAAATAAGACACTGAATACAAAAATTAAGAATAATGAGACCAAAAAAAGAAAAAAGAAAAAGAAGAACCTAAAAACAACACAAAAAGCCAATACTATAGAACATTCTGGAACAGACATACTGAAAATATAGTACAGGAGTTCCCTCCTCACTTGCAAGCCAAGGTGGCTCATCTCCCTTTTAAAACATTGAGACTGCTACTTCTTTATTTCTATCGTTCTGAGACCAATAAAATTTTCTGTAGCTAATGGACTCTAAAGCCCAGACAGATGTGGAAAAACTATTCAAAAGATCCCACTTGCTGAGATAAATGAAAGATATGACCCCATATCTTAAAAATGGCCCCCAAATAGTTTCTGTACTGAATAAATACAAAAGCCTACATCATAAGCAGTTTCAATTTCTAACTTATATTCTGGCTATACTGAAAAAAAATCTTAAATAAAGATTCTCCATAGAGATCATTATAGACTGTTCTTGCTCAATGTTGTAAGTAATGTTTAAAAATCATAAATTATTTCTGGGAAGTTAACAATGTAAGTGGTCAGCTCATCTTGAACATTTTTACTTCTGTCCAACACTGGTTTAATAATGGTGTATTGTCTATTAGAAATTTCAAGCTGAGTTATTGTTTTTTTCTCCTCATCCACAGCAGTTTTTATCAGCATGAATTCTGTCCTTTTAAGAGACTGTAAATCATGAGAAATAGGAATAAAATCACATTTCTACAGTTCTTCAACTCCAACAAGCTATTCTCCCTTGGATGAGTGGGATGATTTTTGTTTTCTCTCTCTTCCTAATTCCAGGCCCATTATTTATCACCATAAGATCACTAATTTAAACAAAGGGAGATAACTCAACCCATTACATTGGTGGAGAACCAAGATCCTAAATTCAGCATATCACATCACCAAGTAGAAGTCCCTGAACACATTTTTTGCTAGGACTCTACAGAATTGTCACAGGCCCAGTTCAGCCAGATATGAAACTTCACTGCAGACAATAATTAAGCTATATGAAATAGCTGATTATCTATAATGTAAGTTCCTCTTCTACCTCCAGTGATTCAGATACCTAGCTCCCCCCTTGTCATGAATTAATGAGCTCTTTGTGTAGCTCTTGGTGGCTTTGAAACTAAGTGATTGTTGAGTCTTAACATAAGAACCAATACTGGTTCTTGGCTTACTTTTCACAAAGTTGGTTCTGTGCCTGGTAGTCTTCCCCCAAAAAAGGGAAATGAAAGTTTATGCTGCATCAAAATAGGTATATTTTCCAATTATATACTTGCATATTACGTATTAGAAAGTAATAATTGCACTCTATTCAAACCCCATCTGAAGTACTGTGTCCAGTATTGGGCAATACAATTTCTTATAAATTGGAAAAAGTGCAAATAAGGGCAAAAGGATTGTATGGGCTGGAAAGAAAGGAGAAATTGAAGAATGTGTTTAACCTTGAGAAAAGAAGACTTGATTGAGGGCACATTTAATAGCATCCTTAAAGAAGCTGAAGGAATATCATACAGAACAAACCTGTGACTTGTTTTCTTGGTCTCAGAGTGGAGGAAATAGAATAATGGACAATTATATCTGTTACATGCACATACACACATTTGTTGTTCGATGGTTTCTATATTAGTGCTACTGTATCTGAGCAAACAAAAACTACAGTAAAGTTAAGAAAAAAACAGCTAGACACTCTTGAGTCATGTTTGACTAGTGGTGATTGCATTCATGCAATTTTCTTTCCAGGCTAATGGAAATGGTACGCCATTGTTTTCTTCTGGGCTATGAAAGGTAAAGGTACAACTTGTTCTTTGATGGTTTGATGTTCAGTGTGTCTCTATGTGTGTGGGTGTATAAAGGAAACAAACAGTGAAAAAATTCTTATGTAAGGTTACTCAGTGACAATCTCTTTAAGTTACTTATGCCATTAAATATGAAAGAGTAAATGTCTGAAGTTTTGTACTTTTTTTCTTCTCAAAAGATTTAGAACAGAACTGTACATGCTAAACAGGATCATATGGGAATATGTTGTGGAAAAAGGTGATGAAAAAAATCTGTGAAAGTAAAAAAGTGATGCAGAATGAAAAAGGAA